TTGATTGTGAACTTAAAAGAAGGATTAATGGCTTAGTTTGATATATTATGCTATTCACTAGGTTGTCTAGACAATGTATGCTTAATGAGTCAATCTATGTTTGTTGATTCAATTAATCACACCTCTTTGTATTGCAACACATGTTTACCCTTTATTTATTACACATTGAATGTCTAGAATGGTGATATTTAGTTGTAACATCTAGATCCCAAGAACTCTCTCTCTTGTTCTCTACCCTTTTATTTACTTTAATTGCTTAGTATTACATTCATTTACATTGTAGTTTAATCAACTAATCAAACAACCTTTTGATCAATCGATCTACTAACCCTATATATTGTTTCCATTGCAAATACGCCCACAATCCCTCGGGACGATCCCTACTCACCCTAGCTATATTTAGTAGTTAGAGTCAGTAGTGGCATTTTATAAATTTAAAACTTGGCCACACTATTTGCATAAATTTGGAGTGTTGCGAGGACCCACCACCAAGTTTTTGGCACTGTTGCCAGGGATTGAATTGGCAATGCCGTATTTCTTTGGAAACAAATAGGAATTAGTACTCTTTTGATCGTGTTTTTACTTTACTTTATTTTTGTTACTTATTGTGTTTATTCTTATTTGGCAAAGTCAAGCGAAGGAGAATTGAAAAGTAAGGAGTAAAAAAAGTCAAGCAAAGGAGAATTGAAAAGTAAGGAGTTAAGCTAAGCATAAAAGGGCTAAAATCTAAAAATTTGCAAAGCATAGCAAGGCTTGGAAATTCAAAGTTAAATTGAAGTGCTTAAGGACCCTTGTGAAATGTTTCTAACTCAATCTCTAGTTAAATCGTTGGCCCGCGTGGTGGCAAATTTTTAAATTCTTAGATAAATCGTGAGCCCGCGTATAGGCAATTTATTTTTTCTTTGCATAATTGTTCAAACATGGGAGTATGGGACCAATGTATGTGGAGAATGTTTGTTGATTGATTTGTTGTGGGGGCGAAGTGATTGCTATTTACTTGTTATTTTTTTTGATAGTGTATGCATGGTCATAGGTCATTAAATCCTACTCTTGTCCTTCCTAATTTGCATCTTGAATCGGTTATTCGTAATCCAAGGGGAAGAGGTAGTTCTCATCACTCCATTTCATCAATGGAGGAGCAACATGACGACCATGTGGAGGACCTTGGTCACATAGACCAACAAGGCATCCTCCACCCTAATGTGCATCATGACAACATCCAAGTACAATTAGGCATGCCTAAACCATTCATCCTACCACAACAACAAGGCCAAATTTCATTAGAAATACTTCGGCCAATTTTTACTCCACATCCTCCCATGGTTCAAGTTAATCAAGGTGTTTATGTAGCACCACCAATTGTGAATCCCCCTCTTCCTTTAAGAGACCATTATGTGCCTAATGAATACAATGCACCTACATGCATTCAATTGCCTCCATTTAGAGCACATTACTATGAGATTAAACCACAAACCATTCAAATGCTTCGTAACTATCATGGATTTCCATGTGAAGAACCTTACAAGCATTTGGATGAGTTTCTTGAAGTGTGTTCCACCGTGAAATACACGGACATGCTAGAAGAAGTTTTAAGACTCAAACTTTTTCCTTTTACCCTTAAAGACAAAGCAAAATATTGGTTCAACAATTTTATACCTATTTCGATAACTTCTTGGGCAAAAATGCAATAAGAATTCTTGAAAAAGTACTATCCGGTATCAAAGACCAATGCTAAAAGGACTTCCATTCGTGAATTTTCTTAAAGGGATGGGGAAATGTTTCATGAGGCATGGGAAAGGTTTGATGATTTGCTTAGGAAGTGCCCACATCATGACATACCTAAGTAGCAACTAGTTTAATATTTCTTTAAAAGTTTACCGGATAATCACAAGGGTATGGTTGATGCATCTATGGGTGGTTCTTATCTTGACAAGCATGAAAATAACGTTTGGCAATTGTATGAAAGCATAAGTGAGAATTCAATGCATAGATCTCTATCTTCTAAAAATGGTAGAAATCTAGGTGGAAGGAAGAATGTTGGCTTATATCAAGTTGACAATTCCAATGACATAGCCGCCGAAATGAAATCCTTATCTCAAAGGTTTAATCAATTTTTGATCAACCAAACTTCGGCGAATCAAATGTCTTCCTCCCCTAACCATTCTCATCGTAACTCTAATGAATCATGCATGACTTGTTCTAGTGTTTTACATTCTACTTCCAATTGTCCCCATGGACATATGCCAAGTGAAAACCATGAACAAGTCAATGCTACATTTGTTAACCAAGGGAATAATCCCTATGGTACTCATTACAATTCGAGTTGGAGAAACCATCCAAACTTCTCTTGTAAAAGCCAAGGGGAAGACTTAAACCCTCCCTAAGGTGGTTTTCAAGGCAAGTATGTTCCGCCTCCAATGCAAGGCTAAACTTCCCAAGGTTTTAGATCATCATTTCAATCATATGGTAATCAATTTTCAAATTCTCATTTTCCTAATCAATCATCTTATTCTCAAGGAAATTCTAGGAGTCCCGCTTTTGAGGAGAAAGTGTTGACCACTCTAGGCACTCTAGAGGCGAACGCTCAATTGCTTCATTCTCATTCTCAATCCATTGCTAAGCTAGAAACTCAAGTCGGGCAAATAGCTAGTACTTTAAATGCTAGAGAGAAAGGGAAGATGCCTTTGACTACACCACCAAAGCAACAACGTGTTGTGGAGACTCATTCCTCATCGGAAGGTCACACAATTGAACACGTCAATGCGGTGACAACTTTGAAAAGTGAAAAGGTTATTGATAATCAAGTAGGTATTTCCAACGAAGAGAGTGAGCCGGTGCAACCAAAAGTTGACACCCATCCCATTTCACATTTTATTCCTCCTTCATTGCATGTGCATGATCATCTTATTGAGAAAGTTATGAAAAATGATTTGAAAGATGAATTGAACAATGATTTGAAAAATGATGTGAAATAGTCTTATGTTAAAAATGCTTCAAAGAAAGTTTTTGAGCTAAAGGCTCCATTTCCGGATGCCTTGAAAGGGTCCATTTCTATTGATAAGCAAAAGACAATGACCAATAAAATTATTGAAGTGTTTAGGCAAGTGAAGATTAATCTTCCAATTTTGAATGCAATTAAGCAAATTCCATCTTATGCCAAGTTCTTAAAAGATCTTTGCACCCAAAAGAAGAAGAACAAGAGCCAAACACCAAGGAAAGTGGTCTTGACCGAGCAAGTAAGCTCCATTTTGCAACATAACACTCTCCTAAAGTTTAAGGACCCCGGTTCACCTACTACATCTTGCATCATTGGTGACCATGTCATTAATCGGGCTCTTCTAAACTTAAGAGCAAGTGTTAATCTTCTTCCATACTCGATATATGTTAAATTGGGCTTAGGAGACTTAAAACCGACGTCGGTAGTTTGCAACTTGCCGACCGATCAATCAAAAAGCCCCGGGGTATCATTAAGGATGTTTTGATTAAGATTGATAAGTTCTTCTTCCCCGTTGATTTCGCTGTCACTGACACGGAACCAGTCCCAAATCCCAAGAATCAAATTCCCATTATCCTTGGCCGTCCTTTCTTGGCAACCGCGAATGCCAACATAAATTGTAGGATAGGGATAATGAAAATCTCATTTGGGTATATGAAAGTGAAGTTGAACATTTTTAATCCAACCCCGAATTCAATGGATAATCATGAAGAAGTGTGTGTTGTGGAAAAGTGTCTCGACAATGAATGTGATAAAGTTGAGTCCTTGCTTGGAAGTGGAATTTTCAAAAGTCTATCTTCAAACTTGAATTTAAGAAATGTTGTTTCGAAACCTTGTGTTGAAAGGGCATGGAAGCCCAAGAGTTGCCTTGATGAAAGACCGCCAATTCCTTTTGATCCAAATCCAACAAGTTCTTTAAAGAACCATTTGTTGGGTGGGATTCAAAAATCTATTCACCCCGTCAAGGAGGGGATGCATAATAAGATATTTGACCTGGGATAAAAGAGCCCAACGTCTTGCTAGAGACGTTAAAGACTAGTGCAATTCGTAGGGTTTACAACCCTATTCCTCCCTCATTTCTATTTTACCTTTCATTTCTTGCGTCGTCTAGATAAATTTTAGATTCATACACATGGCTAGGAACTGTGATTGAGGTTACATGCACTTTTAATTTCAAAATAGGCATTTTGTGCCTGTTCGATCGATCTCAAAAGATGTTTGATCAATCGAACCTCCATTCCTGCATCCAATCAGCTCTCTGTTCTATCGTGCGGAGATTTCCTGCATAAATCATCTCTCTATGTATTATGCGAAGTTATTTTTCAATTGATCTGAAATTTCAAGATCGATCCAATTTCCTCTTGGATCGATCTTCAGTTCCAACACTTAGAAAAAATTTTGAACCCAAGAAAATCAGCTCTCTATGCATCGTTCGAACTTGTCTGTTGGTTTTGACTTGTTTGATCGATCGAAGTCGCTTTCAGATCGATCTTAGATTGATCGATCTGTGTCCTTTGTTGACTTTGACTTTGACTACATTTTGATTTTTAAATTTCAAAATTGTTTTAAAAAAATAATAATAAAAAAAAATTCAAAATCAAAAATATATTTTCAAAAATACAAAAAAAATATATTTTTAATGTTATTTTATTTTACTTTATTTTCAAAAATTCCAAAAAGATTTTAATTTTAATTTTAATTTTTACTTTTATTTTATTCTAAAATTTTCAAAATTCAAAAAATATTTTTCTTTTATTTTATTGCATTTTATTTTCTTTTACTTTATTTCTCGAAATTCAAAAATAATTTTAATTTCAATTTTCAAAATCTCAAAAAATTTCAAAAATACTGTGTTGTTTTGTGGGATTCAATCGATCTTATCTCTTTCAGATCGATCTTTGTTCGATCGATCCTATTTCTTAGTGATCGATCGAACGTGTCGGAGACAGTTTTTAAAAATAGAAGCTAAGGGTCATTTGGATCGATTCAAAGATCGATCTCAGACCCCAACTTCTTCCTTTCGCTGTTCATCGTCTCTCCCATCTCCGGCGAACCTCCGGCGATCTTCATCGAGCTTCCAAACTCTCTCCCTCATTTCCCAATCTTCCTTCTCTCTCGACCTTCACTTTTCTCCACCCGATTTGGTAAGTTTAAGTTTTATTTTTGGATTTCGAGCTTTAATCTTGAGTGATACCCATGTTTCCATGTTAGATCTAAGCTTCAATATTAATTTCTTTCCTTTTTTGAAGCTTTGAGCATGTGTATATAGATATATATATATATATCTATATATTTTGATTCCGAATTCGATTTTGGGGTTCACGTGCCTATATAAGTGACCATTGTTGAGTTGTTAATGTGTGAGAGGGACCCACAAGCTTGCTTGGGTGCCCCCCGTGTCATCCACGTCACAGATTTGTGACTTTTCAAATTTCTCACAGCAGTTTGATCGATCGAATTTTTCTCTAATCGATCAGAGAAAGATTGATCTCAATTAGTCTTGATCGATCCAACTTAGATCGATCTTATATTTTCCTGATCGATCGAACATCACAGATTTGCATATACACCTCACACACCATCTTTTGTGTTCTATGCTATCTTATTTATGCCCAATGCCTGTGTTTTCCACATTGGATGCATTCCATACTTATACTGTTTTAGCATGTTTCACTTAGTCACTATTTATTTGGCTGTGTCATCACTTGCATAGATTCATGTACTCATTCTGAGTTGTCTATCTTATTTAACATACATGTTTCTATATAATGTGCTTTAATTCTTTATTATCTGTTACTAACTCTAGTTGCAAGTGTTTCTTTTCTTTTTGTACGCCATGGCTAGGGTAAAGATTGTCGCCAACTGGCAGTATGTACGCCAAGTTCGACAGCGTGTAGAGGACCCAGAGGAGTAGATGGGACCTTCTCATGTTCAGGACCCAGCTCAAGAGCCAGCTACAGCTCAGTCCTCATTAGCCGACACCAGACCACAGTCTTCGGCTTCTGTATCATCTTCTTTAGATGAGGCTGAGCATGCACCACCTTCTTCACCACTACCAGCATCGCCAAGCCAGATCAGAGACAGGCCTCGCAGGAGATATAGGCACCTTTAAGTGGCGCACGAGTCGGTATTCGACATTGCCTTCTTTTCCCGGTCAGTTCTGACCCGGGTGGCATTTGATAACATTGATCGGTGGGGCATATCAGCTATTTTTGCCCTAGTTACTTATCCAGTTTACCCGAGGCTCGTCTAAGTGTTCTTCCAGAACCTTCGGCTGGCCTCGAGTAACCTATCGGAGCTACGGACCACTATCGATGGCCACCCCATCAGCATCACTGTTGAGACACTGGCCATATCATTACGATGCCCGCATATCTGCCCTCCCGGCCTTTAGCATCTTGTTCTCAGGCAGCCATCTGATGCAGACATGGCCGTTGCTCTAACCGGCCACTATAGCGGTGGTGAGACATTCGCCACTCGGACTTATCTGCCTGATGATCTTTGGTTATTTGATTCGATTATCTTCCGGAACGTATTTATGGCGGGCCATAAGATCCAGCGGCGTTCAAACTTTCTAGCTGCTCTTTATGTCTTCTATACCAGGCATTGGTTCTCTATTCCGGAACTTATCTGGAGTGTCATGATCAGATTTTATGCAAGCTTCATTAGCAAGGCCAAGCCTAAGTGGGCCACTTTCCTCCCCTTTGGACATCTTATTACACAGATCCTTCGGGACCAGCACTATCCCTTTCACCCGGAGGAACATACTGAGTCAGGGGCTTACCACTATAGCAAGAAGGATTGGAATAAGAGCTATAATGCTTTTATTAGGAGCTTAGAGTAGGAGGCTATCTTAGCAGCTGAGGAGGCTGCAGAGGAGGAGGCAGCAACAGCAGAGCATGATCCAGCAGACCCACTGGCGGCTGCGGACGTGCATATAGATATTGATTTAGAGTGAGAGCCTCCAGTAGAGTCCCCACATCACTCTCCGGTAGGGTCGCCATTACACTCTTAGGAGCAGGGTCAGGATATACCTCCAGTTCAAGATACAGTTATCCCTGACGCTCCAGTTCTGACACCTAGCCTAGGAGAGCGTATACAGACCTTGGAGGACGCAGTTGTCTCTTTTCGGTTAGATGCGGCCTCTCTCAGCACTGATGTGGCATCTCTCTGCTCAGACGCCATGGCTGCACTGTAGGATTTATCCAGAGATATCCGGGGATCACGCCCCGCTCGCCCGACCTCCTCTACCTAATCTCTCTATCTCTTTACTCTCATCATTTTATATATCTATGATACATTACTGTTATGATATTTTTGCGGCCAGTCTGTTGGCCATGATACTGTGATGTGCTGTATATTATTTCTTATTTTCTATGCATGATATTTTTGGATGTCTAGATTTTATATTGATACATTTATCTGTGATTGACTCCATTTATCAGGTACATCCCCGTGACTTCAGTGAGAGTGCCCAAATTTTTTTAGGACCACCCTATTCCTCTCTTTTTACTTCATTTACTATCCCATTTACACTTCCATGTCCACTGTGCACTGTTATTATCTCTTTGTTATTTGAAGAGTTTTATCTAAGTGCCATCTTTTCAGGACTGCAGTCAATTCCAAGTTTGGGGGGTTATACCACCCACTTTGGATATTTGTGTCCCGGCCATTCTTTGCCTTAGTTGCACTGGTATACTCTTTCCTTTTATTCCCTTTGCACATTGAGGACACTGTGACATTTAAGTTTGGGGGTAATGGGTGTTAATTGCAGTGTTTGCTTTCAATTCAAAATTTTAAGTATGACTTATGTATTTGAGGGATTTTCTATAATTGGTCCATAACTAGTTGTGATTTTGATCTTTTGAGGACTATATTGCTTAAAATTTAAAAATTGCTTGACTTGAGAGTCCAATACTCCTTGTATGCCTTGTGGATGCCATTTAGAAGTAAATTTTTTGAAAGATTGATATCTTGCTTGCACTTGTGGTTCACATCATCCTAATTTTGTGATTGTTTTGAGATTCACTCTAGGATTCTACACTAGCACAGGCGCACACTAGCATTCATTTGTGGGGTACATGCTTTGTTGATTATTGAATTGGTTATATCCCAATTGGGCTAGTAGTGCATTGAAAGCTTTTATTCTTGATAAATGTGGATAACAAACCCTTATCATTGAGTAGTCGGAATTCTAGCCTCATCAAGCACTAAATTTCTCACGCCGAAAGGTGGAGGACCCAAACTCTAGGTTAATAATTGAACTTACAAAAAAAAAGAAAAAAAAAAGTTGCAAAAGCAATAAAAAGTGATGATTCTCCCAAAAGGTGAGAAGTGGGAAATGATTAGAGGGAGGTTGTTTTGATTTGTAGCCTAGTTGATTTGAACTTGTAAGTCCTTAGGGGTGTTTGAACACCTAATGCCCCTAAAGCCGTCTGGTTTGGGAGCCATTAACCTAACGCTCGACCTCATGAATAGCTAGAAAGCTTAATAGATCAACACATTGCACCATGCTTCCATCTTTGATCCTTAGGGTAGTTAAAAAAAATAAAAAAAATAAAAAAAATAAAAAAAAAAATCGAGTAAAAAGAATAAGCGCACCTAGATGAATAAAACTTTAATAAAAGATCCACTCTTTGTCTTGATGATCAGTACTAGATTTGTGTACTAGTTTGAGGATAAGGATGTGATCATTTCTTTAATTGGCCTAAATAGCAACATATTTGATGTCGGTCCATTCAAAAAGGATTCTAGAGTTATTTTAATTTGCAAGATCATTTTCTTGATGTGTGGAGGACCATACTTGCTTATTTAATGTTGAGATTTTGGGAGATTGTTTGAAAATTGTTGAAAAATTGCATACTTGAGATAGTTTTCTCCCAATGCTTGTATGCAATATTGGTACCTCTTTTGTGAGAATGAGTTTATTGTTTGTGAGTATCATTTCTAGAAACCCTTAAGAGACTTCATTCATCCACTAGGGGTAACCTAGGGATTTAAAAGGTTTGTTGCATGCACTAAATGCAATCATGTTCCCTACGAAAGTGGCGTTATCCATTTATTTCTTTCTAGTTCATATTTGTATAGGTGTTCATTTCATTCCTTTACTTTGTAGTTCATTGCTAGGAATTAGCAATATTTAAGTTTGGGGTGTGATGAGCGCTGAAAAGTGCGCATTTAAACCCCTTAAGCTTAGGTATTCTAGGACCTTTATCTATATTACTTTCCCATTTTAGACTAATTTTATGTTATCACCCTTTTCAGGCACTTATCCCCAGAATAAGCTAATTCAGCCAAATTAGAGCATAAAAGATGCAATCTCAAGCTGAATGGAAGAATGAAGCAAAGTGGTGGAAATCTGCAAACTTCGATCGATCAGAAATATTTTCGATCGATCTCACATTGATCGATTTAGCCATTTCAAGATAGATCCAAACCTTTGTCCTTATCCAAAAGAATTCACTATCTTCGATCGATCTAACTTTTCTCAGATCGATCGAACTTCCTTGATCTTATCCCCACCTACCACTTTTATCTTTATCCTAAAATATCCCAAAAATATCTCAGATTTGTCTTTATTCTAAAAGGTGCTGCCAAGGATGGATCGATCTCACCAATATTGGATCGATTTCACCAAAGTTCGATCGATCTCATCTAAACTCGATTGATCGAACCTTCTCAAGTCAGAATTAAAACAGAGTCCAGCTCATTAAAAGATGGCTCATGGTGCAATCATTGAAGGGACCTTAGTGCACGAGTCCAGACCATTGGGCGTGACACTTGAGCCTCCTATATAAGGATTTGGAACCATTTTAAGAGCATAGAATATAATTCATCGACATTCATTGATCTTCATATCATATCATCATCTTTCTTGGAGAAGAGGCTAGAGCTTAGAGAGACATACACTATTCTTGGGAGTTCTTCCATTCATCTAGGGTTTCTAACCAAGGAGAAGAGCATTTCTACCAGCCCTTGAGGGTTGGATGACTACATCAATGAGTTGCTAAACATCTTCTTAGGGCCCCTAAGCATGCCTTCTAGACCTTAATGCTTTGTATTTTGGGGGTATTTGTGTTATAATGTTGTCTTAAC